TGGCAAAAGAGTATCCACAGTATATGTTATAACACGTGTGCGGGCATATCACAGTGAATTCCGTAAGCAATATAATTAATATATTTATTAATAACAACAAAGGCATAATTACATAAGGAGCATCTGATCCCATTTAGATGGTCAAAGGCCTTTCTAACGACTGTATATTTGTCAAAATACACAGACTTTTAGTGACAGGGTGAATTTTACTCTATGTAAACTTAAATACTTTTAGCGTGAAAATGTATCCCTAAGCATTCCATTCAACTTATATAGATGGTGTATCTACTGAATATATATATATATAAGGAAAGAGCTACTAATTAATGGCTCGTGGAATCAGAATGAGTCAGGTTTCTCTACGGTCTTGAAATAATACACTTGACCCAGAAATTGAAATAACTGCAATGCCCATGAATGGGGGGGGATTCGGGAAATAAACAACAGTTGGAATATATAGTCACTTAAACATTAGGGCTACTAACATTTGCTGTATTGCAATCTACAAAGAATGCATACTATCTGAATGCTTACAAAGATTTCTCTTATTAGTCTGTAGCCATTTATTTTTACGAAGCTCAGGGCGGAAAGAATAAAGCCATGAGGAGTGTTCCGAGGAGAAGCTTACTTGGGCTGCAGCAGGTTAAGTTTCTGGGGAGCTCCTAACCAATCTGGGAATGTTTCCGAAGTGTTCAGTTGTGTCAAGTTTGAATTAGCTTCATGTGATTTTCAGTGTCTTCAGTATATTTTACAACATAACAACTTAAAAAAAAATCTTATTAAGGGCTGGAGAGATGGCTCAGTGGTTAAGAACACTGGCTGCTCTTCCAGAGGACCCAGGTTCAATTCCCAGCACCCACATGGCAGCTCACAACTGTCTGTAATGCCAGTTCCAGGGGTTCTGACACACAACAATGCACATGAAATAAAGTTTTTTTTTTAAAAAAAGAAGAGTTATTAAAGCAATTCATGTAGGAAAGTGAGCATCTGCCGGGCGGTGGTGGTACATGCCTTTAATCCCAGCACTTAGGAGGCAGAGGTAGGCAAGAGTTCTGTGACTGTGAGGACCTGCCTGGTCTACAGAGTGAGTTCCAGGACAGCCAGGGCTACGCAGAGAAACCCTGTCTCAAAATAACAACAAAAGCGAGCATCTGGGAAGCCACCCTTTATCCAAAAATTTGAACACAACACGTGACTATTGACACGTGTATTGCCTCCCAGGAGCAACTGATATTGAATTATGCCTCTCAATCTCTTGCTTATCTCAGTTTGACCTTATACATTTCAGGGTGTGAGTAAGAGATTATGAAAAAGACATTGTGTTGTATATCATCTTTCAGGGCTTAACTTTTTACCCAGCGTGACACTGCTCCGTTCACAGATGCAGCAGCCTGTTTGTGACTATTTTACTTTCACACTTATAATACCCTATCCTGGCAATAGACCACAGTTTCTCTAACTGTATCAGAGCGTTAGGGATGGCTCTATTCGTCCATAATGACCAAATGTCGCAATAAGCATTAGTTTTAGAATAAAAATTTAGGAATGTGTGCATAGAGGGTAATGAGGACTCACGTTGATGTAACTCGTGTATAGGAACTCCTTTTTCTGTGATGAATGCACACAGAGGACTTAAGGAAGTGGGATCTTCAATCTGCATACTGTGATAACCAGGGTATTCTCTCTTCATTCAACAATGAAGGTTGCAACCCAACTGCCTTCTGGTTCTTCTTAAAGCTTTTTTTTTATAGTCTTAAAATTGTGTTTTATTAAAAGAAATACTGAAATGCACAGTTCTTAGAAAGAACTATATAGAACTTAGAAAGAACTATCTAAACAAATAAATAAACGTGGATACTGAAGTTTTCCTTTTTCTCCCTATCCCAGGCCTTTTTTTCTTTGCTCAAACCATCTCCATTCCTCAGCTTTGTTTTCTAGGGGCTTCCACCAAGAGCTTTGTTTGAACTCAAAATACTTGAATTAAAAAGACACGTAATGATAAAAAAAATACAGAAAGAAAGAGACATCCTAATTCAACACTCATCTGAATTAAAATTACCTACAAAGAAAGAGCAGAAAAAAGAATTCCAAGTTTATGGATAGAGCAAAATGTGATGGTTTGGTTTTCTTTTTATTAATTCATCAAAAAAATCATTACATATAATTTTTTGATTTGTGAAATGCTCAGAGCAAGCTTTAAACATGTATCCATTTTCAAGCTTATGTAAACATCCCATCCCCAGTTAGACGATTTAGAGATTGTCTACCATTACATCTTACTGTAATGGTAGACAATGGTATGCACATCTGGGTAGGGCAGAAAGGACATCAGTGTAGGCAAATCTTTTGTATGTCACCTAGTAACTGTCTCATCTAGGGCACAGTAATAACGCTCCTCAGTTTCTCTGCCTGCCAAACGAGTGTTGTAAAGATTGGATGAGATAAGTAAATTGCCTTCTACAACATTTAGCATATATGAGCCCTCTTGTGAATGTAAACATACCTGCCTCCCTACGTCTTTCCTGCTCTCTTAATACCTAACTCAGAGCTCATAATGACTGTGATTGCCTTGTGCTGCTTTTCTTAAAGGGAACACTCCTTCCTCTGTGGAAAGATCCAGTGAAGATTGAAAAACTGAATTTGAAAGCAAATGAATGAAACTAGAAAAAAAAAATCCTGAGTGAGGTAACCCAGACCCAGAAAGACAAACATGGTGTGTACTCACTCATAAGTGATATTAGATGTAAAGCAAAGGATAACTATGTTGCCATCCACAGAGCCAGAGAGGCTAGGAGACAAGGAGGACCCAAGCAGGGGATGCATGGATCTCCCTGGGAAGGGGAAATAGAAGAGATCTCATGGGTGAACGGGGGCAGGGATGGGGCTGGATGGAGGGGGAGAATACTGAAAGAGATGACTGGAAAGGGAAGGGACGTTTGGGGATCACATTGAAATCCGATGCAAGGGAAAGTCCCACAAACCTACGAGGATGACCCCATCCAAGACTGCTAACAACAGCGGATACGTAGCCTGAACTGGCCCTTGCCCGTGATCAGATCGGTGACTACCCCAATAGCCATCACAGAGCCTTCATCCAGTAACTGATGGAAGCAGATCCCACAGCCAAACATTAGGCCAAGCTAATTCTGCTGAAGAGTCTGAGACGTCAAGGACATTACAAGAGAAGTCACAGAAACAACTAACCTGGGATCATAGGAACTCGCAGAGTCTGAACCAACAGCCGGGGAGCCTGCATGGGACCGGCCTAGGACCTCTACAAACACGTAACAGCTGTGTAGCTTGGTCTACTTGTGGGACTCCTAACACGGGGGCAGGGGCCATTCCCTAAGGCTTTTTACTGGCTTTTGAGATCCTATTCTGGATTGCCTTGCCCAGCCTGAACACAGAGGAGGAGCTTAATCTTGTCTCAACTTGATAGCCATACTTTGCTTATGTCCATGGGAGCCCTGCCCCTTCCTGAACAGAAACAGAGGAGTAGAAGGGGTTGGGGCAGAGGGAAGTTGGGTGAAGGGATGGAAGGAGAGGAGGGAGGGGAATTTGCAGTTGGGATATTAAATAAATAAATATATGAAATTTAAAAAAACAGACAAATGAAATTTAAAAAAAGATAAAAAAAAGCCAGGCAAACAAACAAAACAAAAACCCCGCCACCCAGTTTCCTTAGCTCCTTCCTTTCCTAAGAGAAAATACATAAGAAAACCAGCAAAGTCTCAGCCCTGGTGGCTTTATAGCTCCTCATCTATAGAAGTTGCACACTCTCTACGTTTCTCCTGAAATCCTCAATCCTGTCAGGGCCGGGAACTCCAACTTCAGACCCCACTTTTGCCCATACAGCTTTATGGGAACAAAAGCTCTTAGCCAATTAGGGCAGGTCATCATGTACTCCTTTAGCTATCATTGGGGTGGAGAGAAACAGCAAGGAGGAAAAATACTAGGGTCTTTTTAAAGAAGAATGTGCCAAATATATGTCCCTAAGGCCAGGTCAGTCTAAGCAGCCCACAGCCAAGGCTGAAAGAGAAGTGGAGGGCCGACCCCCTGGACAGGGTGAGATGGGGAGATCACTCATCCAAAGGTTATCCAGTGGCAAAGGATCGCTGGCCCCATGGTTCCTCTCAAAGAAAGCCCCAGGCTTCTACTGTGGAGCATGTGGACTCCCAACCTCCACGCCTGTCTCTTTTCTTAGCTAGTGTTCTCTTGAAAGTGTACTGCCACCCTGATCTCACACACCAGTGATCTGAAATACCTTCCCCAGGGAAACAATCAATTCTGAAACTGCTTTCTCCCGGCCCAACCACATCCTCCGCTAGATGTCCCGCCGTCAGGTTCAAAGGCATCGGCTTCAGACTCGGTTTCCACTGCGGCTTTATGGGGACCCTGAGTTTTCAGTTTAGTCCACAATAAGACATTAAATGACCAGTGGCTGCCGCCATTGCTTGTTAAAAGAACTCATATGAAGCCGGGCGGTGGTGGCGCACGCCTGTAATCCCCGCACTCGGGAGGCAGAGGTATGCGGATCTCTGTGAGTTGGAGGTCAGCCTGGTCTACAAGAGCTAGTTCCAGGATAGGGCCCGACACTACAGAGAAACCTTGTCTCAAACAAACAAAGAACTCACAGGACTAGCAAAATGCTTTCTGTTTGCCCTGGTCACTTCCTGATGGAGAGGAAGCAGCTGTTTGCACTTTACCTTAAATGGAGCTAAACCACTACTCTCTCACATCCATTCGGACACGTGTTCTGACTAATCCGTCTCATTGCAAGCATTGGATGATGGAGACAGATGGATTAATATTCCCAGTCTCTGTTTCTGTAAAATGGGACCAGCCACCCTGGGAACCATTTTCTTTGCTACTTGAAATATCCAGTACCCACACTCCCTCTCAAAGCAAGTCCCACAGACAGAGGCACACACTCGTTTCTAGCTTTGGCTAGGGGCCACCTCCTGCCCCTTGTTCCCAGGCCGCCCATTATCCCTTCTTACCCGCTATCTGATGAAGCTGCAAGCCCAGGCTCAGCATCAGCGGCAGGAGGAACATGGTCTGTATCGATCTGAAACAGACAATTGAGAGTCTCAGAGCTCAGTGAGTTTTCTCAGCCTCTGCTGGCTTAACTACTCCCAAGAGAATAGTAAGGGCCCAGATACAAATTTTGTGGGAGACACGGGTGACAGCCAAGGCAAGAGCAGAAGCGGCAAATGTCTTTTCTGCAGAAGAGGGCAGACACGAGGGCAGACACAAGGAGGAAGGCGGCACTCTTTCTGAATTCAAACGAGACGCTCTTCTTCCTTCTTTCGCGGCCTTTTCTGGAGGAGAGGATGGACCTCGTCGTTCACACACAGTGGTGATGATCTGTATCCTTTCGTACCTCCCCTGTCACTTTCTGAAGTTTAGTCAATATCGAAATCTTGAACACCAGCCTTACTCACCAAATAAATAAGGTACGCCATCTTCTCTAGCTGGACCAGGACTTAGAGAGGACCCTGAAGAACAGGAGATCAACTTAGGAGACCAGAGCTGGTATCTCATTACTTCCTAGTTGGAACACATCAAGCTCTTGAGTGCTGCGACCCATTGCTCCTGTTGTGTGGCTTGCCTCTTAATGAGCTTTCTAATTATTATTTTTTAATTATTTTTTGAAACAGGGTCTCATACTATCCTGGCTGATTCTATCCATGTAGCAGAGACTGGCTTTAAACCCCTGATTCTCCTGCTCCTACTTCCTGAGTACACAAGCGCCACTGTACCTGCCCTACTTTTTATTTCTTTGAACACATTAAATGGAGATAATTTATTAGTTATTCTAAGTCATACCTCAAAGAAGCTGATTAATATCTATATGCTGAAAATATTTACATCCATGTTGTAAAAACTTTATTGACTATTAGTTGTGTACAACAACAGATTTCATCATGCCTCTTCATCCATGTCCTTCGATCATATTTACTCCCATTACCCTATAATGTTCCTCCCATCTCCTAATGGCTCCCTTCCTTACTAGCAGCTCTCCTATTTTCACATATTTTTTTCTAAAAATGACATTGATTTCTTCTTGATGGCTGATAATATTCTACTGTATACATATGCAACGTATTTTTTATCTATTCATCCATCAGCGAGCACCTGGGCCACTGTCATAACTTGGTTACTATGAATGGTACAGCAATAAGCATGGATACACAAGAATTTTGGTGGATGACTTAGATTCCATTGGGTTCTTAGGAGGGGACCAGCTGGGTTTTCTTTTTTTTTGAGGAATATCCATGGTAATTGCCATGTGACTGTACTAATTCTCATTCCCAGTGGCAGGGTGCGAGAATTCATTTTCCCTGCATCTTTCTCCAGCATCCGATGTGTTTTGCTGTTTCCTTGAAGACATCCATTCTGACTGGGGGGGGTTGGAGTGGGGGGAAGGAACCCCAGTGTTTTCTGAGAGCTCTAGACAGAGCGGGTCTAGCGGGGGTGGGAGGTGTGATGGTCCTGCTCCAGCTCAGTCTGGTTCCACCTTCTGTTTCGCTTCTCATTCCAGGTTATCTGCATCCACAGAGCAGTCGGGAAGGCACACTGTCTTCAGCTCTTCTCTCTTGAGGGGACCTTGAGGCTTTATTAGCTGTAGACCCATTTCTCCAAGAAAAGCTGTACATCTGAGTCCTGGGAGAGCAGAGATGTTCAGAGAACACAGTATGTTGGTGAAGAGATACTCTGGAGCCCGGCGAACTTCACTTGCATTTTTAGAAAAGGATGTTGCTTTGGTTAGAGAATTGCATGGCAAGTTGCATGGCAATGCAGACAGACTTAGAGGGCAGTGTGATCGCTTGCATTAGGATGCTGGGGCTCGTAGAAGAAAGTGACCTGTTGAAGGTCTTGTTATCTATGTGTTCTTTAGATTTATTTATTTAATAATAGTCTTATAAATAAGACTATTAAATATAGTAAACACACAAAAGAAAGCTGTATAAACCTAATGCAGAGTCTCACAAGCACAATATTAATTCGGGGGGGGTGTTTAGTGTGTACACACAGTCGTGTGACCAACACCGCTACTTAACTCTGATATTTCGACATTTTAATTACCACAAGAAAGGAACTATACCCAGTTAGAGAAATTCCTATTTCCCCTTCTCTTTCCTGGAATCCCTAGCAGTTACAAATCTGCTTTCTGTTTTGGTCAGCTATGTGTGCTGGACATTTCACATAAACGACATCAAGCAGCTCTTGATCTTTGTGACAGGCCTCTTGCGGTGAGCATAATGTCAAGATTCACCTGTTGTGTGTCACGGATCAATACTTTTTTCCTTTCATAAAGTTACTCCACTGTATAATAAGCCAAGTTTGTTTATCACTTCCTAACATTTTCTTGTAAGAACAAAATATGTTCTGTTCATATCTGGGTCTCTAACCTGTTTTGAGTTACTTTTTTTGGGGGGGGGGATAGATAAGGTTCTTTTGCGCATGTTTCACTAAAATTTATTTTAAAACTAAACTATTCTTTCTCTGTGGAATTATCTCAGCCTCCTTGATGACAGATGTGGGGGATGCGTTGCTGGACTTTTTGTCCATTTTGCTCAGCTCTCTGTCTGTCCTGTGTCCCTATCACACAGTGCTAATTACTGTAGCTTTGGGGCGAGTTTGAACTCAGGAAGTGAGAGACCTTCAACTTTGTTCCTTCTCAAGTCCTTTCTCTCCCTGGCTTCACCCTTCCTGCTTCTTTGCTTCTCTCCCTTGAATTTCTTTCTTTCTTTCTTTCTTTCTTTCTTTCTTTCTTTCTTTCTTTTTTTGGTGTGCAATAAAATCATGGTTTTTATTTATGGAATGTCAATTTTATTCTTTTTTTTAAAAAATTATTTATTTATTTATTAAAGATTTCTGACTCTTCCCCGCCACTGCCTCCCATTTCCCTCCCCCTCCCCCATCAAGTCCCCCTCCCTCGTTAGCCCAAAGAGCAATCAAGTTTCCCTGCCCTGTGGGAAGTCCAAGGACCACCCACCTTCATCCAGGTCTAGTAAGGTGAGCATCCAAACTGCCTAGGCTCCCACAAAGCCAGTACATGTAGTAGGATCAAAAACCCATTGCCATTGTTCTTGAGTTCTCAGTAGTCCTCATTGTCCACTATGTTCAGCAAGTCCGGGTTTATCCCAGGCTTTTTCAGATCCAGGCCAGCTGGCCTTGAATTTCTGTATGAATTTTAGGATAGACTTGTGTATTCTGCACAAGAGAAACTGATGGTTTGCTTTGGTAAGAATTTCATTGACTCTGAAGCTCTGTCCAAAGGGAATATGATAATCTCATCATCAAGTCTTCCAACCCTTGAAAGAAGTCTGTCTTCATGATTTTTCTTTTTTCCCAGCTTTTGAAACTTTAAATATGCTATTTTTTATTATTATTATTATTATTATTATTATTATTATTATTGGTGATATGGGCAAGTGTGAGTGTGTGTGCTTTGATGTGCATGTGGAAGTCAACTTTATAAAGTTGGTTCTCTCCTTGCACCTTTCTATGAGCTTTGGGAATGGCATGTTGGTCTCCAAGCTTGCCTAACAAGCACCTATACCCATCGAGTAATCTCAACATCCCAAGCTTTTAAAGCTTCCTATTTGCATATTTAGAAGTTATGCACTCTGATAATTAAAACAATTTGAACAAAAAAAATGGCACTCTGATAAAACCGCATGTTGCAGCCTGCAGGATGCCATGGACCACTGTGGATTTTACTCAAGATTGCACCTCCTCCCACCCAATTTCTTCCCTTGACGGCGTAAGTTCTTTCCCCTTTCCTGTCAGTCAGATCTGAAGACGGGAGAGGCAAGCAGAAGACTTTGTTACCAGTTGTTATGGCTTCTGTGATGTGAAAAGGAGAGCCCAGTCGTTTAAACTTGGTCCATCCTCGTCACATGACAAAGTTAAACAGTGTAAAAAAGTAAAATCCAAAGGCGGTACTCGTGGGGTGCTCAGTGCGTGTTGCTGGTGCTTGTTCCCCACCCCCATCTGCCCTCTCGTGTCTGCCTGCTTCTTTCTTTCAAAGGAAGAGATTCTCGCTTACATTTCTGGGTTCTTTGGCCTCCACTTATTGAGTTTCAGGATGTAAGCCACATCAAGTATTCAGACAAGGTTGAGGAGGAATGGAGGGAAGCATGTGAGCACCAGGAAGCTGAGCTGCGTGGTTGCTGACTAGGTCATTTTCTTAGATCTATATTTTGAAAGAAAACCTATAGGGAATGGCTGACAATATGGATAAGTAGTTTAAAATATACAGTAAAACTCCTGGGCTTGGGGAATCGAGTCATCGGGGTAGTAGAGAAGCAGGAATAGCCGTCGGATCGGAGGTGCCTGTGAGAGTTCCAAGTGAAGCTACTCAGGAGGAAAAAGGGCAGACATTCCAAGTTGGAGGATATGGTTAAGACCTTGTATAAAAGTAACATAGGCCACAGTGCGCATGACATCAACCACGAGAGATGGGAAAGACAAAGTATGAAACAACAGACGTGGAGTTTTCCAACATGCCTGGGCCATTGTGAGGAGAGGCACCAGCAAAGAAGAAGCAGACCAAGCGTGAAGGTCCAGCTGATAGCACTTGTTAACTATCGATTTCGCTCTGGGTGTTCTGATCTTTTGTATACTGAAAGCTAAGCGATGCCGAACAGACTGCCCTCCCCAAATTCACCAGTTAAAATAGGTGGCCCCCATGGGCCATGAGCACTTCGTTGTAATGTAAACCAGGCAATTCAGAATCCTTGTGTTCCGTGGCCTGCTTTATAGGGAACTTGACATTCTTGTTCACTGTCTGTTTTATTCCTCACAAGCAAACCCCGTGAAACTAGTGACTGACCCTTGCTGAAAGCCAGCAGAAAGGGTTGTTAATTAATCCAGACATCTGCCTACACATCTCCCTTCTGACTCCTGGACAGCCCTGATGTTTCGCCATGTGGGATGCTGTGACTCAAGGCTCTTTTTCCTTTGAGGTTTGTTAGTATATCAGATGATTTTCTCCAGGGCAGAATAAACTAAGGCCTGACACACCAGGCATTCATTCTTTCAATAACAAAGTTCTTA